TTCCTCTCTCTCTTCCCCTCCACTTTCTTCCTTCCTTTCTCTCTCTCTCTCTCTTTCTCCTTCCTTCCTTCCTCTCTCTCTCTCTTTCTCTCTCCCCCCTTCCTACCTTCCTTCCTTCCTTCCTTCCTTTCTTCTTCCACCCACCCACCCTACCTTTCTAGGCGCTCGTTGTCTCCGTCCACAAGGGGCTTTGCTCCCTAGTAATAAAATAAAGTCACAACTGGTTCCCTCATTATTGAGCTTGAAGAGCCACCGTGTGGCCACTTTGGGAACTATTCACACTAATTGAAGATTTCTTGCAAATCGCTCAAATTGCTTTTTTAATTGACAGGACTGGAATCATTTCTTCACTGTTTCCACAGGCGTGACTTGCAGACAGTGGAGATGCTTTGGCATATCCTCTCTGCCAGTCTGTGTGGCATTAGCAAGAGCTAGCTTCTGATGCAGCTGTGTTTGGAGGGGTGGTAGTGATACTGTTCCGGGGAGACAAATACCTGGGACACCTGCCTACCACTGCTATAGAGTCATTGTGGTTAGAATGTAGAACACGGATGGACGGGGCAAGACCTGGCTCCAGATCCCTGCTTGGGCTGTGAAGCTCACTGGGTGACCATGGGCAAGCGGCTCCTGTTAGCCTAGCCTATTTTACAAGCCTGCTGTTAGGAGATACAAAATGGGGTCACTGCATCTGTGCAAGGCCACCCTGAACTTCTTGGAGGGGAAAGGTGGGGATAGAAATGTGAGGAATGTGTTTATTTACAGAATTTATAACCTGCCTTTCTGCCCTCATCAGGTCCACCAATTTATTTATTTATTTATTTATTTCGATTTCTTAACCGCCCTTCCCCGCTTACACGGGGCTCAGGGCGGTTTACAACCAAGGTAGCGAACAGATTAATAACATATGTAATAAAAGCCAAACAAAAACGTTATCATTAAAACAACTAAAACCAAGCTCAAGTACACACATAAAAACATCAAAACCACAGTTAAAACATAGGGAAGGAAAGAGGAATCACTGAGGGAACAGTAGACAAAGGTTTTGACGAGCTGGCAGAAGACAGCAACAGGAGGGGACAGGCAAGTATATTCTTTGAGGAGAGTTCCAAAGTGGTGCCATGACTGAGAAGGCCCTGCTTGATCTTAGCAGGCGGCAGTGGCATCTGAAGAGGAGTCTTTAGAAGATAACCCTGGTAGTTGACTATGTTTGTAAGGGAGTTGGCAGTCCTTTGGGTACGTCAGTCCCAAGCTATATAGGGCTTTAAAGGTCAGGATCGGCACCTTGACTTGTGACCAGAAGCAGATTGAGAGCCAGTAAATGGGCCAAGACTGGAGTGATATGATCCCTACAGCCTTCTCCACTTGATACCCTGGTTGTCCTCTTCAGTAGATATCCTGGTTGCAGCATTCTGCATCAATTGAAGTTTCTGAACGCTTTTCAAGGGTAGCCCAATGTAGAGAGCGCTGCAGTAATCTAGTGAATGAAAGGCTTTCTGACTGAGCTTTCCATATTCCTGGTTAGGCACCATATTGCTGTTGTCCAGTGGAGTTCAGCAACCTTTAGTTTTGCTTTAGAAAAGAAAAGTAGTTCTATCCTGCAAATTAGTATTTGTTTGAGAAAAACGGCCTAATTTAAATTAATATAATGGCATAGAGCAGAAGCCAAAATTAAGCACTTTGAAGACTCATTGATTTCATGTATGCATTTAAGCCCATGGTTTGCTCTTTCATGGAAAAAAAAAATCTATGGGATGCAAAAGCATTTCACTTCAGCTGGACTGAGCATCTGTATGAGCATTAGGTATCTGTAAACTTGATTGAGTTGTACGAGCCAAGTATCCCATGTGGCTCTGTGGTGGTAATATTGAGAGCTTCATATAGGGAAAGTAGCCCATACACCGTTCTGAACTGATCCACAGGCATAAAGTTACCTGCCTTGGATATAACTATCTGGTACTCTTGGTTTGAGGAGAATGTATGACGTGTGCTTAAAGCAGTTGTTCTAAAAGAGTCATTGGAGTGAAAAGGTTCCAGAAATTAGACATTCAACAAAAAAGGGACTTGCAGGTAAGGGCAGCGGAATCCTTCCCTGTCGTGCAGCTTGCTGTTTTGACATCGTTCTTCCCAAGCGCACTTCTGGTATCGGAGCCCTTTCATGCAGAGTCCCTCTTACCATTTCTGCAGAGGAAACAGAGCACCTTTCCTCTCTCGTGTAACTCTTAATGGGCTTCTGAACATTAAGAATGTAAGAAGCACTTTGCTAGATCACACATAATCCCCCTGCAGTACAGCGGAGGCCAGATAGAGGCCTCTGGCAGTTCACAAGCATGGCATGATGGTGATCACTATCCCCAGCATTTAGTATTCAGAGGCAATTTTTGCCTCTGAAAATGCAGATTCCACTTAGCTCTCTTGGCATGCTGGTAAAATTTCCTATCCCATCTGCAAATCTCATTCTAGGCTACTTCTGAATACACAGCATTGCTTCCCCATTCCTCCCCCCCCCCCTTTTCCCCACTGATTGAGTCCCAGTTTAAAATGTGGTGCTGCTACAAGAAGAAGCCCAAGGCTGGTTATATAATCTAGAAGCAAAGGGTTAGGGTAGAAAGGGAGCAGCCACAAAGGGAAACGCAAAAACTCCCAAGACAAATGTAGTGGAATATCATGGATCCTCTCTTCCCCCCCCCCCTTTTTTCTGGGCCATCAAGTCACATCTGACTTACAGCAACCCCATGAGGCTCTCAAGGAAAAAGATGGCCAGAGGTGGTGTGCCATTGCCTGCCTCTGAACGGTGACCCTGGACCTCTTTGGTGGTCTCCCATCCGAATACTTAGCCCCCGAGCTCTGACGAGATTGGGCTAGCCTAGGCTATCCAGGTCATGGTGGATCCTCTTTAGTTCTGCCTGTCTTCAGATGGATGTGACCTGGCATCAAAGAACAATTCAGCTGAAATCTTTTTTTCCCCTTAGCAACTCTTTGCTACATTCTCTCCAAAATTCTTCTTGTCGTTGAGAACTGGGTGTTATGCTCAGAGAAGTACATCACCCTAAAAAGTACATTTCCCCCCCTTCTTTTAATGGTTCCAGGTCTGAGCCAAAGATCCTCTTCTCCTATAAATGCCAGGTGGATGAACCCGAGGATGTTGATGTGCACCTCCCGCATGCCTATGGCGTGGCCAAGAAAGAAGGCCCAGATTCCACCTTCTACTCCAGCACCCAGATTGACACCGCGGCCTACCTGGATGATATTGCTTCCATGCCCTACCACGTGGGCAGCATCAACAGCATTGACAGTGACCGCTGGAAAGCCATCAATTCCTAAGGCGAACCTGGTTCCCATTTTTGAAGAAAGCATCTCTCTTGGATCCCTCAGCTTTGTCACAAATTTGCCCTTGGAATTCTTTAATGTGTTGTCTTTTTCCTTGAGGATTTTAAATATATATATATATTGAAATCCAGCTTGGAAGAAAAATCAGCTCCAGTGGCCTTCCCAGAAGCTGGCCCTTGTGCTCATGCCAGGAAAACCTAGACCAGCTTTGTTTCAAAATGCATAACTATTACACCTTTCATCTTGAACATTCCAAATATACGTGATTAGGAGTGACGGCAAACTTTTATTGATGGCGAAAAGTGCATACAGCTGGGAGTGCTTGACTATTCAACTGAACATAAAGCTGGACTATGTTTTTGATGTTCCACTTGGGTTAATTTCCTAAATAGTCCTGTTCCCAACCAGACTAAGCTCCCAGCAGAACACTGTTTGGAAAAGAAGCTAGGGGAGGATGGGACTGATCTCTGGCAGTGGCAACTGGGTGGGATTTTTGACTCTGGAGACCCTTTCTGAAAACTCTGGATACCCTTTCTGGAAAGATTTTCTAAATATTCCCATAATTGGTTGCAGGAGAGGAGTGTGTTCGTGTGCGTGTGCATAATATATATATATGTTTATAATATATATCCTGGATATTGCAAGAGGGAGGAAAAGTGGCCAGCAGGGAAAGGTCTCTGTGGAACTTGTTGCTGTGCAACTGAACCACTCTGACTGGTGGATGGGCAGCCTGGAGTTTCGTACACTGAATTAGGGCTGAGTTTGCAGCTGAAACTTAGCCAAGAGAGAGTTACCGAAAAGTGATCTGCTACTTGATGCTGACAGAGCTCCAGAGCCAGTGGGACTAGGAAGGAAAGCGTTTGCTCAGACTGACAGCTCCAAAAGTGTTCCAGAGTACTGGCTGAGTGGAAGTATTCTGATGAGCCATGTGTTGGAGAGGCTGTGAGTGAAGATGATAGGGTTGGCATTGGAGTGGAATATATAGGGTGGCAGTAACTTCGATGTGTAGGCTGGCAGCAGGCTGTTCAGTGTGTACCACCATTTTGCTCTCCAGTCCTATGTGCTCTTCAGCCAAGGCTAATCGTGTACTGTGTAGTACAGGTTTTTAGGATCAGATGGGACTTCCTGGAACTTGGCTTGAGGTTTTACTTGTGTGAAGCCCACAGTACTAAGTAGCTGGCTGTTTCCTTGGCAGGTAGCCAGTCTTCTGAGGCTTGTCTGTGGGATCAGTAAAGTGAAAGAGGGCTATTCTCCAGTAATAACAAGAGGTGTTCTTGATTCTATACAGGGAGAAACTGGGGTTGGGGGAACCCCATGCCCTGAGTCTGAAGGGTATCTGTGTACGAATGCCTGGCTTTCCTCCCCATGTTCTCTCATCATGTAATTAAGCAAAAGATGAAGGAATGGGAAGGGACATTAACCGTTCTGTGTAATGGGGGAGCATATTTGTTTGAACTGTGGCTGGCCAGGAGGCAAGTGGTAACACAGTTAATTGTACAATTGAGAGTTCCAGGTACTGAGGCCGCAAGACTATCAGAGGAACATTCACAAGTTTCTTATTTGCTGTTGCTGCTAATATTTGGAGCTGGTTAGTACCAAATATCCTAGATTCTGATGATACATGGCAGAGGTCCAGTGCTTGGGTGAAGGTTCTTTGGAAACGAATGGAGCGTACTTTCCAGCCGATACCTTCAGGGACAAGGTGGAAGCTGGGCAGATCCTGCAGCTGTCCTCTTGCTAATACGTGCTTCCTCTTATGCCTGATGGTTCTGTTGTTTTGTGATATCTGCTTGGCACATCTAAATGTTTTTCTTTCTTTTTTCTTTTTGCCTTTTAAAAACTTTTTAAAATTACTCTTTCTCCCCAAACTGATTTGATTATGTCTGCTTTGGAGAAGTTAATGCAAATGGACAGGATTGTGGTGGTGACCCAACACTTGCTGCTGCCCTAGTTTAACCTGTAGTAAATGGAGACATTGAACACTGGCTTCATCCAGGGTTGCTCCTTTTAGAGATGTCACCTCTAGGGTGAGGTGTCTTTTTATCCTGTATGGTTTAGGCTCCAGTTGCGTGTGTTTGTTGAGTACCTGACAGGGCTGGACTGGCCTAGCCACGGTCTGTCTCTCTGACTCACGTACTTACTTACACACACCCTTTTGTAATGCACTGGATAGCAGGTAGAGCTTGGCAATGGGGCAGTCATGAGAGATGTGATGCGACTTGGTTGTTATCCAGCCATGTGTACAGGCATACCTGTCCCTTTGATAATGTCTTGTTATCCTGAAATGAGCCAGTTCTCTGTCTTTCCATTGGCCGCAGGGCACTGGATGGGGGGGAGCAGAGGGTGTAATAATGATACCATATAAGGTATTTTTTCCTGTCCCTGTTCAACTGGAATTAAAGATGCTTCCCTTGAGTAAGGTGGTTCCTGGATCGTGGTAAAAAGCTACTAACCCTTGACAACAAAACACAATTTCCTTGGATTTCTTACAGTTTATTCCAGGAATGTTCCTACAGTCTTCCCACAATCTGTAGAAAATACAAAGTACTCTGAATTACGAAGATGGATTCCTTGAGTGATGTGAATTGGAATGAGACTGGATTTAGATCATGGTGTGCTAACCATGGTGTGTCAGATGCTGACCCATCATTAAAGGGGTGCTGGATTCTTCTACTTTCTCTTTTTGCCTCCTCGTAAATTCCAGTATTTACTCTGTACATCTTGCATTGTCTCTGCTGCTGAGGAGTTTCTGCACTAAGTGAAGGAATTATCTCCTTCCAAGCATTGAGGTTTTTATGGGTATATAAAAATGCCTCCCAGGGGGTCAGCACACGATATGGTTCGTGAGTGTGTGTGTGTGAATACACTGCCTGTTCTGTGTGCTGTTAGAAGGGGGGCCCCTGAAAATAGAATAATGTATATTTTTTGTCTGTAAAATAAATGAACTTTGACATAAACCATGATCTCCTCTCTCTCATGAAACAGACTCACTGTGTGTGTGGGGTGGGTGGGTGCGTTACATTCTGCATGTTATCCCCCCCCCCCCAACGAAGCCTGCAAATTCTTCCCCTCAAAACGAAACCAACAAAAAAAAATTGAATCTTCATTTTTAAAAAGTTGGCCGTGTTTTTAAAAAGCAGTATGGAAATGATGCAAAGTTGGAATGACAATCTGTTTCAGTATAATTGGCTCGCCTAGCTGTTGCTGCTTGAAAGGATAGTCTACAAGGGACTGATCTTCCTCTTCCTTTCTTCTGTTGCTCCAAGAAGAATCTGGGCCTTTTTGCAGTCTTTAAAATTTTGCTGTTGTCGCGTAGCATCCCAAACAAAGTGGCTTTTCCCACTGCTGCTTGCCAAGAAGGGAACTCTTTGCTTCCTAAATGTGACTTCACATTCACACAACAAGCATGTTTGAAATGCGCTGTCTTGCCAAGGGATGGTGCACACAGCATGCTCATTATGGGATACTGACCTGATGGATTATTCTCCCCCAGTACAATGCATGATTCAGGGCTCCATGACTGACTGATTATGAAGCCCCCCCAAATGTTGTTAACTGGTGTCCCGCCGCGGGTTCTTCCGTGGCCATACCGGCTGCTGCGGCGGGACTGGCGCGTCCCGCGCCAACCCCTGGGACACCCCAAAAGGAACAGAGCAAGGGGAACCAGCTGGGATGCGAAGACGTTCCTATTACAGAGCCGCGGGAAAAGAGGGGGCGTGCCAGGGGCAAGAACCGGGAAGCTTTACCTTGGAGCCTCGGGGATATCGGGGGTGCTATCAAGGAGCCGGGCGAGGCAGACTCTTCCGAAGTACACCAAGAGCCTCACAGAATTAAACAGCATAGAATTAACAGAGTGAAAAGGGGAAACAGTGGGAAAAGGGAAAAGGGGACACCTGTACCGAGGGGACTGATTGAGTGTGAACACAGGGTGTTTGAATCACTGTAATAACTGTGTGTGACATACAATAAAAAGGAATCGGGAGGTGTGAGGTGTGTTGTAACCCTCTTCCTGCCGTAACTTGAGGTGTTGGTTTCCGAACTTAAGTTGACTCCGGCGTCTGGCTTCTTTTTTCCGTATCGAGGCATCACGAATCCCGACAACTGGCTTGGAGTAAAAGGCTTCATGTGATGGGAGAAGAGCAGGGTACCTATCTTATTTTATTATTATTATTATTATTATTTTGGGAGAAGAGCAGGGTACCTATCTTTTATTTTATTATTATTATTTTTTTAAGTCCCAATTATTTTCCAAAATGGAGTTGCTCATGATACTGTACCCAGAAAGTGGTTAATAAATTTTTTTGTTACAGTGTGAAGAACAAGGAATAATAATTTAAAAAAACACGTCAGTCCCAGTAAGATGTAATATCTGGCGAGACCTTTGTGATTTGAGGGCCACTCCACATGCTGCTTTCCTAAGGGTAATCCTGTGCCTAGTTTCTGATGGGAGAGAGAGGTGCTGCTGTGTACACCCGAATTATTTGCCTGCTTCTAACACTGAATGCCTCTGATCTGAGTGACCAATTATTTATATACTGCCTTGTTGAAGCACCTAAGGCAGCTAACAATTGAACCCCCAAAATACAATATAGCAGTAATTGAATCGGTGGTGGTGAGGAAGTAGCAGCAACCACCGCTTTAATTTATTCAAATTACACAAAAAATTAAAAATTCAGGATTCCTCTGGAAGATCTGTAGGGGTGGCACCAATCTCACCTAGGGGAGGGAATTCCAGAGTTAGGAGGAGAAATAGGTGAAAAGGCATTCTTATAGGTCCCTGCCAAAGTATCTTGCCCATAAGGAAAGATTCACCTATTGATTGCCAAGCCTGAACAGGTTAATAGGGGTTTCATGGAAGAAAACCACACTTATTTTGCATTAGCTGGATGCAAGTCTCCTAGTATGGTACTGAAGAAGCCAAAGAGAGCAAGTGATTGAGTGTCAGGGCATGCAACCAATGCCTGTAGTATTAACTTCAACATACATATTTTCCTGGGTCTCTGAAAATATGATTTGTCATTCAGGAATGATACATGCGTATACCTTTACTTGACATCTGGTCTCTCATTCTCCAGCTCCTAAGTCTTCTTATTTCAGAATGCAGTTTGCACTGTCAAATTTATGAGATCTATTTTCCAAGCAAGACAGATAATGATCTGCCATGCAAAGAAGGCAGCTTTACAGGCAACCAATATGGGTAGGTCTTCTGTCCACATCAGTCAGCTATATACATAGGCTACCATCCTGATAGCACTTTCCTGGGATTAAGCCCCATTGATAAAACTGGACTTCTGAGTAGATCTGCTGAAGGTAGGTCCCGTTATGTCTAAACAGGCACAACGGAGAGTGTTTTTATGATGCATTTCATTTAAGTACTCAAAAATATTTCTAAAGGTCATTAATACAGAAAGGTTGGTATTCTGGTGCATCACAGATGCTGTTTCAGTTTCAGGACAGCAGGAATATGAGGGGCAGAAAGGGACTTGATGAACAATGTAAATAAGTTGGAAAACCAGGAAAGTATATTGATTCTGGTACTGAAGTGGATTTTCTGATTGTCAGGCAGCTGTCATTGCACCAGTCATTGTACTGTCTTGCTGGTCCGGGATGGGCTTTTTCTACAAAAGCAGGAGCATCACCACCGTTTTGATTCCCCATGCTGACTGCTTTTTCTGAGAGCCTGTGTTTGCATGGCTTTGTCATTTGTTCCCATATTGATAATGTGTGTGTGAGCTGTGTGTGCCAACTGTGGCCATTCTCCAAAACCGTCTGCTTTTGTCGGTTGCCTGGTGAAGCCTTTGTGTTTACCACATTGCCTTCAAGGTTTTTGGAAGGGGGATAATGTATTCCTCTTAGCCTCTCCTGCAAGAAAGAATATTGTTAATGAAATGAGGCTCGCTCCGATATGCTTGAATCTGGTAGCATCCTGTGGCTTAGTGGCACAATTTTTGAAAGTTTAATCCAGCTGGGTGGAAAATGCAAATACTAGACTAAAATGGGTTTTTGATGGAAGCAAATGATTAAAGGAAAAAGACATATGTAATAATTTTTTTAATGAATGCACATAAAACTTTATATTAATTGCAGTGTGATGTTTTAAGTTAGGTGGACCACTTTCAGAAAGAACCCCTTCTCTAATAAATGCAACAGGGGATCTACCCAGGCTTCACTTCTTGTTTATATGGTTTATTTTCAAATCGCCTTTGATCTGTGAACTTTGCCTCTTAAATCTCGTTCTGAAGCACCAGGGAATAGTCCAAGTAACCTTTCTGAGCCGAATTCAACTCTGTCAACATTTCAGTTCTCCATTCCTTGCCACTCACTATGTACAAAGTGTCGGGGGCAAAAGATTGATTCTCATATTTTTTGTGTTCGCTTCTATGAGTGAGGGATGTATAACATACTTTTGAAATTGAGAAAACCATTTTTTAAACAGTCAACTAAAAGAGGTGGCTCTTTAAGTTGGTGTTAAAGTGAAGACCAATCTATGTGCAAAATCTCCTTGAATAAATCTTGAGGTCAAGTATTCATTACTGGGGAAAATGATGAATTTCTTTTCCCATACCATGGAGGAAAATTATTCTTCCCAATAACTACCTTGCATCGATACCAGGATGCTTGAGCTAGACAAGCGACATTTAGAACTCTTTCCCCCGTTTTGAACAGCCAGTCCCAACCTGACCATTCACTCCAGTACTTTGTATTTAGCTAGAAACAACTAATGCAGAAATTAAGTGTACACTTCCCGTCTTGTTTCCAAATGAATATAAGTATGTGGCTCCCCCCAAAAAACCTCTCTGTGATGAATGGCTTTGCTGTGTGCTCCTAAGAAGTATACAGTTTTCTTTAGCTGCAAGTGGAGTTTGCTTGTTCTAGCAACTACTTAGGAGCACACATGTGAATCATGAAAAGGATGAATGTAAAGATCAGGTACACATACCCCCCTCCCCCAGATTCCTGACTGAAATCAATCCACCTCTGGTGGAATGAGTAACCCTTTTCATTTTTAATTCAAGAATCTCTTTTAATTATGCTTTTCATGTTTAATAAACGGGAGGATTGCCTTATGATGGTTGCTATGGTAAAGAGGGCCAAAGTCCCTTTATAGGCAAAACAAAACAAAAAGCCTCCCTAAACCTGCAATTAGCTGCTTCATGTTTATAAAACAGATAACAAGTGTTCTATTATTTTTCACTGGTGGCAGGCAACCTTCATTACAGCACAACAACAGAATATTTCTGGTGTGAAAGCACCTTACGTTTGGAAAGTTCACTTTTATTTATTCCTTTATAGCTGTAGTTACGAGGGTGCTTTTCTATATTGTTGCTGACAATGAAGGTACAGTGGGGATACAGATGAACTACTGTTGCTCTTTAAGCTAACACAGTCTGCTGGAAAAAGCTAGGAGATCTATGAGGGGATTGTTGTTGTTGTTCAGTCACACAGTCGAGTCCAACTTTTCGCGACCCCATGGATCATCTCCCGCCAGGCCCTCCTGTCTTCCGCCGTCTTCTGAAGTTGGCTCAATTTCATGTTCGTTGCATCGATGACACCGTCTAACCATCTCATCCTTTGCCGTCCCCGTCTTCTTTGACCTTCAATCTTTCCCAGCATCAGGGTCTTCTCCAGGGAGTGCTCCCTTCTCATTTGGTGGCCAAAGTATTTGAGCTTCAGTTTCATTATCTGGCCTTCCAGGGAACAGTCAGGGTTGATTTCTTTTAGGATTGACTGATTTGATCTCCTTGCAGTCCAAGGAACTCTCAAGAGTCATCGCCTGCACCATAATTCGAAAGCATCTATTCTTCGGTGCTCGGCCTTCCTTATAGTCCAACTCTCGCAGCCACACATGACTACTGGGAATACCATTGCTTGGACCATGCGTATTTTTGTTGGCAGGGTGATGTCTCTACTTTTTATCATGCTGTTTAGGTTCGCCATC